AGGAGGAGAGGGAATGTATTTTAGTATAGATTCCCTTAAGTTTGTATTGGTAGATGGAGGGGAAGGCAACAAACTATTAATATTTAAATTTTGAGAATGTGATGGTGGTGGGGGTGACGGTGGGGATGGAGGCGGGGGTGGGGCAAATGATCTTGCAGGCAGCAAAGCAGAAGTACTTGCAGACGAAGATAATGGAAAAGGAGGTGAGGATGGGGATGGAGTTCGCGGTTGTGGTGGAGGGGTAACTGAAGTTGTTACTGGTGGCAGGCTAAGTTCCTCAGTTTCATTTTTCACTTGTGGTGTTCTAGGCAAAATTGGAGAAGGAGCTTCTTTAGTTGATCTCAAACCTAATGGTGGGTAAGATGCATACTTCGAACGGCTTGGTGCAAAAGATTTGTCAGCAGTCGCCGCCATTTTTTCTGAAGATGAAGTAAGAAATTGAGGCTTAGATTTTTTCCCGGTCAAAGCACCCTTGCCAGCAGCATTAGCTACTGGAGCAATGTTAGATCTTGATGGAGGATAATATACATGCATTGAGTTAGTGTAAGAACCTTTATTAGAAGGTATCCACCTGGACACAGCATCTGGCTTGGCTTGTCTTAAGGTAGGGCTCTGCAACTCTTGCTGCTTAGATTTCTTGTTGGTGCTGACTGAATCTGAAGCAGGCTTTGAACTATTGGACATCATCTGTTTGTTCGTCACAGTTGACACCCCGTTATACAACTTCTGCAGCTTATCATTATTATTATCAGCAATTAATTTATGTTTGGGCATAGGAGCATCTTCACTCTTCTTATTTTCTTCTCCTTCCGATTTACCATTCGTGCCATAATAAACAGAGTTGGGTTTACCATTACTACTAGTACTGTCCAACTGACCATCCATATTGAGCAACATATTTTTTTCTTGAAGCAAGTGGTGCACGCTTCTGAGAATACCCTCGTCTGATGCACATTCTTCATATGCACGATAATCGGAACCATCCTTCAGAGATCCTTCATGATGACTTCCATTATCCTGACTTATCAGTTGAACAGCATGAGTATGGTTATCAGGCTCCACCCTACCGTCTTGCCCATCTACACTGCTGAAAATCTCTTCTGCCTCAAAAAACTCCTCCGGCGAGTTACTTTCGAATTCATTTCCATCTTCACTCACAGCTTCTTTTGCAGTGATAATGGATGCAAGAGAATCTGCATCTGAAAAGAGCACCTGATACAGCAAAACGTAGTGTTAGCTCTTAAAGCCTCAGAAACAGACCACAATATATAACTAATGCAACATAGAATCATTTTACCTCTGCTCTGAAATCTCTTGAAAATTGTTCCTTGGCATCCCAAAGAACGTCGACATCGTCACGGGTCAGAATCATAACATTTGATCGGACAAATGCTGTATGGAACATAATTCTAAAAATCATCTCTTCCCTCATACTATCATCCTCCAAATGAATGCACTCAAGAACGATATCTCCCTGAACATGGCAATGGATATCAATTTTCACTATATCGCACTCTTCCTGCAGCCACAGAGAAAACAAAAAAACATATCAAAATTTAATTATACTACCATTCGTATGTCCTGCGTAGTGTAAACGTAAAAAGAACCCCCTAGCTTTACCTGCCGATATAAACGTATATTCTTTTTCACTTTTGAAGTCGAAAGCAAAAGCTTTGAACTTCGACTCGACGATTTTGAAGAAGCGTCCTGACCGTATACTCGAACAACAGGCCGGCACCCTCTTCCACCGTCAAACAGAGGAAGGACTCTAAGTATAATACAATCCAGAGCCAGCGGTGTATCTTTCGGTGGCCAATCTGAACCAAAGTTTCTTCGAGAGATGTACTGAAGGTATCTGAGCTGAGATGGCTGGGGATTTAAAGGAGACAGCAGATGAAGCAATTCCCTGGGTGCTTGCTTGTAGACCATCTCCAGAGTCTTCTGCTCACCAGTATATTGTTTTCTGTACAAAAGAAGGCCCGCGAGCATGAAAGCAAGCACGGGCCATCCTCCTCTTTCGCAGTGCATTAAAAGCACGTTCTGTTGGCCCTCAAGCGATAACCAGCTCTCGCTTGATCGCAAGAAGTGATGGATCATCTCCAGTGGTAACAGAGGGCACCCTTCATACTGCCGAGGGTAATCCATTACTGTCATATCATACTGAGATAGCACATCAGATAATTGGCTCCTCCTTTCCCCTTCTTTGAAGTTGAAAACCATGAAAGCGGCATCTGGGTAGTGGTCCTGTAGTTGAGCCACGATCCCATTCATGTATGTTCGGTACTCATCTTCGTCGAGAACATCCGCGGAGAAGCAGCAGTCGAACACTGCATTCAGCAAACAAGAAATGTCATGTCTCGTAAGTTACAAGTACACTCAGCATACCGAAAATCATATTCATTGATAACATTTTTTTTCTTTTAGGGAATAAGAAATAATAGTAATAACACATCAGAGTTTCCAGCACAGGACTCCAAATATCACTTCAATATTATTACACCCATTAACAGCACCAATAAAGAATTGCAATAAATATCAAACAAAGAGAATAAAATTAGGACCTGAAAGTTATGATACATTCATAAGCATTGCATGTAAATGGATGGCTAAAACGTTTCCATGCAGAAAAATGATCCTATTAACTACAGCTTGCATCACATAAAAACATAATTTGCTTTGAACTCACAAAACTTCACAAGATCAGCAGCCCTTCACTTTGGAAAATAGAAACAATCCTATCACTTCATAGTCTATCCTGCCCTCAAATAGAAGTAGCTCCAAATATCCCAACCCAGTAAAAACCAATCAAAAGGCCAGCAAAACTCAAGCTAGAAGTACAAACAGTTACTGATAACAACTACAAAAATGCCATCCAGCAGCCACTCCAAAACTTAAATCCCACATTCTCTCTTGAGCCTTTCAAAACTAAAAAGAAAAAATATCCCAAGGCTAAGTCAAAAACTAGAGTTTGGAGCATTCCAAAAACTTGGGGCTAAGTCAAACTAGAGCAGGAAATAGAAACATAGCAGAAAAAATCCATACCGTACACCCTCTCGGAGATCTCTAGAAGCCGATCCGGTGGCTTCCGGTAGAAGAATCTCCTGAACAGCGCCATCTAATGGCGCTGTTTCCCACCTGATCAGATCCAAAACCTTCACTTTCCCTCTTCAAGCCCTTAACCTGAGTGTTTAACCCAGCTAGGCAACAGCCCTTCACAACCCACAAATTACCTCCACAATAAACCACAAAATTCCAACAATCAAACAATCCCAGATCAGAAAACACCAGCAAGCAAGCAATTGCAGCCCAGCTGATGCAGAATAAAGCCACAGCTGAGGGTTTTGGCCTCCGCGCAATTCAACAGTAAAAACCACCCGAAACCCAGCTCACCAAACACCAAATATGGGGATAAAAAGGGAAAATTGCAAGAACTGGAAGAAGCTAGAAGTCAGACTCAGTACACAATCAGAAAAATAAGATTTTTCTCCTAGGGCTTGAGGGATGTACGGGTCGATTGCAATTGGAAAGCAATGAGAGAATGAGATAATGATGATAGGCAATTGTTGAAAACGTGAATCATAATAGGACGGTTTGCTCAAAAGGGCAAAAAGGAAAAACAAGAATTGATCACATCACATGGGAGGGTTGGAGAGAGAAAGGGAAGGGGGAAATAGTGGACTGAATGGAGGTCGCCGTCAAGGAAGACAGGACCCGACCCTGTCAAATGGGGGTGAAGTGACCCGGACCTGATAACTATGATCATTGTTTTAGCCTTTTGTCGATTTTCTTGGTTTGGTGTTTTGTTTTGGCTTAATTGTATTTGTTGTTTGGATTAAGGTTTAGATAACTATATCTAGCCACCCGATGAAATTACAAGTTGAATGATTCAGTCATCAGATCGAAAAAATAAGATTATATTTTCTACATTATTTTATATGCATAAATTTTAATTTTTAATTCATTTTGTGACCACAATAATACGGTAAATGTGAAATAAATAAATAAAAATAAGCAATATAATACGGATTAAATTATTCAATATCTTGTATTTCTAGATAATAGTTCAATGCTTGATAGATAATATTATCTCAATTTCAACATGAAACTATTGTAACACAAAAGTAATGCAGTGTAAAGTTATCAAATTAAATTCAATTTCATATAGCTTCATATTGATTTTGAAGTTTTATATTTTTTTTAAAACAATAATATTATCAAAATCATATTGATTTTGAAGTTCGATCCATGAATAGAAGATGTTCCATTTGGATATAGCTTGGTTAGTGGGCAAGTAGTTGGTTTACGTGAGACTTATTTGAGTCTGAGCACGTGACGTGATAGAGTTTTTGAATGACTTAATTATACTCGAATAAGTTGAAAAAGAATCGCTTAAATGATTATGAAATGACTGAATTATAAGGAAAGAAGTTTTATTAGATAAGAATACTTATGTGGAAAGAAGTCTTCTCCTATACTCAAGGGAGAGTGAGCAAATTTTCAAAATTCTTACTTAAATCTAAAATGATCTTGATAACACATATGGGTTCGAAGAAGTATTATTTGTGCTTATTATATGCATCATTACCAGATTTGAAAACCCTAAATTGTGATTATTACGCTTAGTGCAAATATTGAATTTTAGAGTTCAAAAATTAATTTCAGCATCGAAAAGTGTTTACGTTGATAATTCTGACTAGTGTATACCCCGTGCGATGCACGGGAATAATATTAAATTAACAATATCATAAATAGACCTCGAGTTTGAGTCACTCAGTGGCGGAAGAGGAAACTACTATTGATCCTATTTAAAAAGAGGAAGAAAAAAATAATTATAAATTAAAGAGAATACTTAATAATTATAAATTAAAGATTCGGGGTCTAACAATGTAAAATTATTTTGTATAAGAGAATAAAAAAATTTGATTACACACCATTTCAAAATTATTATTATACTTTTTTGTATGGTTAGCTTATAATATTTGTAAAAATATTAGTAATTAGACCGATAAAAATTAACTTCTTAAAGTAGATAATGGATTTATAGTAGTAATTATGAATTGGTTTCTATTTTATTTTATTTTTTCTTTTTAAAGATTATGAATTTCTAGTAGTAATTATGAATTGATTTTTATTTTATTTTCAAATCTGTATAGATAAGGGATGAGATTTTTTAAACAGCGTGAGACGTATGCAATGAGATTTTCTAACAGAGATAAGCTCGTGTAGATTTATACTAAAAATAGAAAAAAGAAAAACAAATATTTATTGTCAAACAACGGTTTTGATAAACTAAAAAATAGGAAAAAGAGAAACAAATTTTTACACAATTAATGACCCGATTTTTTTGTCTATTCAGATTTGTTCAACAATTATTATATGTAGGATATATTTAATGATTTTGGCGGGAAAAGGTTTCTAAATTTGTAAAAAGGTTATTCTTTTTATATAATGATAGATGTTTCACATGTTATTGAAATCAGTTCGAAAAGGTGTCCGTTCGATTTACAAATGCGAGACACATCACAATTTCTCTACATAACAAAGAAAAATGATACAAAATCTAGTTATTTGAAAATCATACCAAAACAAACGAATAAGAATAAAACAACCGACCGTGACTGGTTCTACATCGATTATTGACCGATTTTATGATGAGCAATTCTAGTGTAAAAGCTGGCTTAGATGGTTCGGATTAATGGGCAGTCATATGTTGACAAGGACCAACGGATGGCACTTTCATTATAGTTGGAAAAATCAATAAAGAGTCTCATTCATTCATTTTTTTTTTTTTTTTTTTTTTTTTTTTTTTTTTTGGTACACTCATTCATTCATTTTCATCTTTAAATATCTCTTTAGAAAAACAAAATAATGAAACTGTTTATAAACATTTTTTTGTTTTCTTTTTGGTTAGAAATGGTTTTAAGGTTTTTACTTTCCTTCATCATGTGTTTGTTGACCACGGGTAGAGTGTAAACGAGGTTCGAGGTCTTATCTAACCGAGCTTGACTATTAAATTAATGAGGCAATACTTAAATTCGAGCTCGGCTTGTAATTGAGCTTTAAACGGGCAGACATGAGATTGTAAGCCAAGTTATATTGAAAGTTAAAAAAATTATGTAAACATTCAAAGTTTAATAAGTCGGGTTCAAACCAAATCGAGCCGAACTCGTGAATGAATCACTTTGGCTCGTTATGCTTAGCAATGTCCAACTTGCTTAATATCATCTAAATTTAGGTCAATGTATATGGAATATGTATAGTGCTCCAAATCAAGAACATTAATTTAGGTCAATGTATATGTAATATGGTATATTGCTCCAAATCAAGAAAGTGATTTCCTTATCTATAATTTGAATATTTCTTCTAAGATAAGGAAAAGAGTAGTTATTGGTTAATAATACATTTACGAAAACATAAAGGCGCGAAATTTATTGCACTTCAGTTTGGATTGGAAAATTAAATTAACCCCCAATAATGTGACCAAAATCCAAACTTACTACTTGTAAGCTACAAATTAGTTGGTGTGGCCCAAAGACAATCCAACGGATAGGAAAGTAGCAGATTTTGATTGTGTATTTGCTGTTGATAAGAATTTAATTGGTCCCATGGATTATCAAACTCAAATCAATTTGTATTTATTGGTATGACAAAATACTGACCAAACCCTTATTAGGTTAGGCCAAGGGGTTTGGTAAGGTGCTGGGACATGACAAAGTGACCAAATTAACCTCATTATCCCCTCTTAATATAATTTGAAAACGTGCTGAGCCTAAATGGCTGGCTCGCACGCTTCGGAAACTTACTTGGCAACATTACATGCTTCGGCTTTTGGTTCGGATAAAAATTAATACAATTAGATTCCCCTCCTACTCCAAAAAAATAAATAGGATTCACAAATAAATAGGATTCTTATCTTATATGCCGTGTAAATAGGATTTTTTTCTTAATAATCTCTTTCTCGGTCTAGTTTTTCATAATCTCACGCCACCTTCACTTTCAACCCCACGCCCATCGTTGTGAGCAAATCTACTTTTTAATCAACACATTTAATCGTTTTTGTTTTTCTAGTAATTAATTGATTAGCCGAGGATGAATTTCGTGTTGTCTATCATATAAATTTCAACTACTTTGTTTCTGAATTTATTGAAGCATGTCTATATATATACGGACTGTGTAATATCTATGATCTTATGTGGCTAAGCATACTCATGTTTCATTTGAAGTGTTGCCTTTCCATGTTGATTTTTGTTCTAATTGTGATTGTATACTTATGGACGGGCTTGATTTTAGTTTAATATTGATTTGGATATATGGATTGTTGGACATGTGTTGAAGAAAGCGTAGTTTACTTTATTTTGCTTTTTTCATGTTGATTTTTTTTTTTGTTAGTGGAATTTATGCCTCTTTGAGTACCATGGCTCATTTATGGGAGATTAAAAACACGGGAGGTGGTTCGACATATTATCAGAATCCGAAGGCTGATTTTGTTCAGCTTCCACGGGATGTTAACTGTTAAGGTCCGTTTCAATTTTAATTGCAAAATTTGTGTTTTATTCTGTTTTGCTTAATCCGATCTCCTCTAAAATTATATATTAATAGTTAATACAATTATATTTCTCGGCTTTTGGTTCGGATAAAAATTAATACTATAGGCTTGAAAATTTTGTGTTGCGATAAGGATGGAAAAACTATAAATAATTATTAATGTTGTGTACAAAGAAATTTTTTAAAATTTGAAATAATATTTTGATATTTTCTATTTTTGCACTTTTATATGACAACATGTGTTTTTTCTATTATTTTATGTTATATATATTTTTTTTTTCAAACAACCCGTGTAGTACACGGGTGTCGTACTAGTATACTTTAATTTTCAATGTACCCATAAAAGAAAATTAGTACAGAGCCCGTGCGATGCACGGGGTGCACAATTTTAAGGCTATTAATTCAGACTTATAATTATATACATGAATAAAGAAAAATGTACGGGATATATATAGTACGTGACTCGTGCAAAGCACGAGATATATTTATTTAGAGAATATTATATTATAAGATGCAATATTCAATAAAAGTTTATAATACGCAAGAAAATTGTACAATGTTCAATAAAAGTTTTATAATATTCAAGTGGAGTCTTAAAGTCTCTTGTACATTAAGACTACTGACAAAATAATATTTTAATCAATGAGTTTTCTTTCCTTGTAGCGAAATTGTGAATGTGATTTGAGGAGTACAACAAATCGATATATAGCTGACTTGCTTTTTTCATTTTAGTTTTATAATGAATTTAAAGATATTCTAAAATATAGCAAAAATTAATTCTTTTATTACAATTAGGAATTTTACTAAATATAAATTCTCAATCTATGGTGTTAAATCAACGTTTAAGTCTAAAAAATTAGGAATGTTTACCCCTTTTAATCAACGTTTGAGTCTAAAAAACAATAGAGTTATTATAAGTTTTTTTTTCTACATCTTGTAAAACATTAAATATGAGCATGTTAGGACTAGCTTGTAAAATAATTAATATATTATCTCACTAAAACATTTATACTAATAAAAATTTAATTTTAGCATATAAATTTATCTCTTGATATAAGAGAAAGTAACAGTTTTACTTATTGTTGTTCACCATATAATATTTAATTATTATTTTATTATATAATAAAAAAGAAATATTGTTAAATAGTGTAGTAGAATTGTTATAAAATTATATGATTTTTTTTACAATATGGATTTAATATTTTTTTTTATGATTTGATAATATAAACAAATTTATACTTAATTTTGACAAATAAAACAAATAAATACTTTAGTAAGTATTTAATGTATATACTAAATAGGAATATATTTGGTATAATCAAATACTAAATATAATCAAATAAGTCAAAGTGTACATTTTTATTTGATATTTGATTTTTTTATTATTAAAATCTTTTTATTATACTTACCTTTTTAAAATAAAACAAATAAATAAATCAATTAAATAAATAAAATATTATAATACCAAAATAGTAATGACATTTAATGCAGTTGACTTTTCTGGATAATAAATATAGTAAATAGAATCTCCTTTTATATAAGTGTAGATTATATAATACGGAAATAGTAATGCAATAAATGTTGTTGACTTTTCTTTATACTAAATCTGGTAAATGGTATATCTTTTAATATAAGTATAGATACTAATATTAATCATCATAACTAATAAAAGTTACTTGGGACAGACACCCACCCATCAACCATTCTTTTAAACCAACAAACAATGTGCAATGACTGGTAAAACATCTTTTTTCTGGGCATATAACTAAAAGAAACAGTAGAAAAGGAACAAACTCAGGACAGGAAATTTACATTGCTATTGTGAGGAATATTATCATGAATTTCTTATACATCAGTAAATCGGTTCAAAACAAAAAAATACGACCGACAGATGGAAAAATCTGAGCAAACAGATGAAAAATGCTAGTTGATACATTATGATTTATGATATCACAGTGTATCCAAGGAAAAAAAAAAAGAAGGAATTTAAGAAGAGTTAGTCCCTTATTGTGTGGGACATCAAACTCGGTGAAGAAGAAAATTGAACTTTGGATGGTTTCACTATAATGTTATCCAACTCAGAAGGCGAAGATATTCAATCCGGATGATTTTGCAATCTCACTGGTTTGTTTACTAGAAAAAATGATCAGCTCAGTCATTTTAGAAGCCTGTGAGCTTACTGTTGAGCTAATTCGCAGTTTGGAATATACCGAGAATTGTGCTTGAAATCAGCAAGAGTTCCGTTACTTCCCATTTATCTTAACTGCGGATAAAACCATGGCATTAGTAGGATCGATCATAAGGATTTGAAATAAGTTTCATTGTCTTTTTTTTTTTTTTNTTTTTTTTTTTTTTCGATGAGAGAATCTTATGGGGCAGTTTTTGAAAAATTACCAAGAATTTATCATATTAGCACTCCACATAAAATTTACATAACCCACCTCTCTGGAACCATGATCTTCGAACGGCCTGGCGAATATGACGTTCGTGTTTTTCCAAGAGCTCATCGATTTTCTTCGATTGGGAAAGCAAAGGCCCTGAAAACTCAACCTTCTCCTCTTGATCATGATATACCTGTTTCCAATTACAACATCCCACTTACATCACCATAAAAAGTAATTATATCGAAAAGCCTTGTTACAAACTGAAGACAGAGAAAATAATTTCACTTATTTTCCAGATTCCCATTTAATCCACAAGACAACCCAAGACACTGATAGTTTTTTTCCGGTAACCAGGGCAAATAAAGTTCTTATCAGCTTCTAGCCAGAATATATCCTCATTTTTGGCAGTCGAAAACTTATTCAACACTAACGAAAACCATAGATAATCTAAGATATTCATTTAGCAGATTTAAAAAAATAAAAAAATAAAATAACATACCGAGTTGCTTCCCTTGGAAGCCGCTTCCTCTTTACGTACCGACAGATCCTGCGAGTGGTAATCCTCCGAGGCATCGAACGAATCAGGACACTCCAGCTGGCTCCACTTCTTTAGCATCGAGCTTTTGAATATTTCGTAAGACTCTCGCTCTTTTACTCCAGCATCATCATCACGTTTTCCTTCATCCTTGGAGTCCAAATCATTACTCCTCGAGCGCCCAGCACCGCAAGATTCGATGTTCAAGCTTCTCGAGCTCGACTTACTTCTCGACCTCAAATCGGTCGTTCTTCGGGCCCACGCGAACCCGCTCGATCCCGAGACCTGCAGAGGCCCTGCATACGTGGCGTCTCCTTGGGATGTGTTTTTCGAGTGGGATGGCTCTTTGGTGGGGCCCACTGGCGGCTTAGGTGGCTCGTGACCCGAAGCCTTATTTGCTCTGTGGGTGCTGGCACGGCCAATTCTGTTCATTTTCGGCTCCTCTTGCTTCTGAGGAGCCAAGTTCTGAAAAAATTCCAAAAAATGGTTATAATGAAGTGCATAGGAGAAATATATATATATATATATATATATATATAGAGAGAGAGAGAGAGAGAGAGAGAGAGTACCTCTTCTGGGGCAAGTTTATTGATCCCATTCTGTTTTCTGGTTGGTTTTCTTACTTCAGGTGCACGAGACCTTCCGGCTGGCCTTTTTCTGAAAGTACAGATATAATAAGTATATATAATATAAATTATAAATTATAGTGAAAAATGGACATGAAGAGCTTTTATACCTGCTAGCCTCTTCATGATGTTTAATGTCAATCTCCTTACTGGGGGGATATTTTGGCAAGCTTGACGGTTCACAAGCGTATGGCTTCGTCATGAAGTACTAATAAAAATGCAGATACTTTTAAACCTCAGAAGGATCCCACTTCATTGAAATTTTTTATAATAATAATTATTTCGTAAACATGAACAACCAGTTTCTTTCTTTCTGAAAACGAGAAATCCACCAAGACTCGAAAGAAAGGTGGTGTATAACTAAATATGCTATCTTGTCTCAGTTTTGATCGATGATTAAAAATATTACCTCAGATGTTAGGGCAGCAGCAGCAGTGCCCCTCTTGAATGGCTCGACTGATAACAGAGTTTCAATGAGTGACACGGCAACTTGGGGAAGATCTTTAAAAGTTTGCCAAAGGGAGCTCTGATAAGGATGCTGTGGCTTGAACAGTGTAGCGTGTGGAAGTTTCGATTTTTTCCAGTAATCTTCCGGAGGGGACCCACAGAGTTTGAATATCTTGTGAAGCTGTTCTACCTGTTCCAGAGACATAAATATGTTCTTATGATTCTACAATTTTTTCTTGTCCTGAATTATAATCTAATATACTTTACGACCTCATGCCAATTAATAGCACAGATTCTCTCGAGTTATTTTGGCAGATGCAAGACTTGGTTTGGATAATGCAAAGTAAAGATCAGTTAAATTGCAAAATCAAGTGCACTTTCCTGGGGAAAAAAAATACGTGTGAAACAGAATGAACCTCTCGAAATTCAAGCCCTTAAGGATCACTTGAGGGAAATGGATGGCTAGCTCAGAAAACAATCTATATAAAATTTTTGAAAGTAGAGTTTCTATATAAATTCTTAGCTTGAGAATCCCTTTATTCTCATCATACTCACATATCTTGATCACAAAGTTCAAAAGGTAGAACGGTGGATTTAGAAACACTACTAAAGGTAACCGGAAAAAAAATAATAATAATAATATCTGTCTTTTCTGCCTAGAAGCCAAGATTCACTTTATCTTTCTCGTTCGAGCAAAATCACTCACTAGAATACAATGAAAAGGGGTGATTACTTACCTCAGTCCTCCCTTGAATGATAGGCTTCCCGACAAGAAGTTCACCGAGCAAGCAACCGGCACTCCAAAGATCGACTGATGCCCCATAGTCAGTGGACCCCAATAAGAGCTCGGGTGGCCGATACCAAAGAGTGACCACTCGACTAGTCAGAGGTTGCCTCTTCCCGAAACTACAGAAGTTTGCTAATCCAAAATCGGCAATTTTAAGCACACCTTCATTATCCACTAAGAGATTCGCGCCTTTAATGTCCCGATGCATCACGCCTCGAGAATGACAGTGCTCGAGTCCCGATAGCAATTGCTTCATGTAGCACTTGACCTGTAAATTTCAATGGCACCATTGGTATATATACATGAAGAAGGATTTTAGTTACTTTGATTCAAGAAAGTAGCAAAAAATAACGTTTTCAAGTGGAAAAATGCAATCTTGCCCAAATGAATATGAAAACAGTTACTTTAAAGAAATCAAGGTAATTCAAGTATCCGCTTGAGGTTTGAACACGATTTTTTTTTTAAAAAAAAAANCATGACGTTTTGCATATAGTTTAAGAGAGATTAATCCGAACCTGTGCCTCGGTGAAAGTAATCTCTGGGGAAGATAACAGTCCAGCTATATCATGTTCCATATACTCAAACACAAGATATATGTTGCATGAAGACCTTGACGTGATTATACCTTCCAACTTTATAATATTCGGATGGTCAAGCCGGCGAAGGATTAATATCTCCCGAGCCATGAAACGAACGCTTTCAGGCTCGAAATTGTCAAATCGGACTTTTTTCAAAGCAACAATCCTTCCCTTATCCAAGTCGCGTGCTCGGAATACGGTGCTATACGTGCCCTGGCCAATCTGATTAACAACAAAGTGCATATCATTTTACATATTTTCAACAAAGTACAAATAAAATTGGAAGCAGCGACCAATTATATGAATAGTATAATGTGGATTTGATCAATTGGACTTGGATTACTATAGTTCAGACTTCAGAGCAGTGCTCCAAGCAAATATCTACTATTCTGTCATGTAGTTTCTGGCTTATTGGCAAAACTCCAGATTATTTTATTCAAGAACCTCAAACAGGAGCAAAAGGACAAATTACAGAGCCAAATAAACTCTCAAACTGAGGCAAAATGACAAAATTATAGAGTCAAAGTAACTCTAAAACTAAGCAAAAAGACAAATTACAGAGCCATAAGTATATTTCATTACCAAAATCACAAGCTCAGAATGTTTCAGCTAAAAATGAAATGAGCCAAGCCATAATTTAGTGATCATTAATTTGCCAACACGCTTCACGACTGTACTAAATGGTCACAGACAACTAATACAAGTCTACAAGTCCTACTTACTAAAATAAGGAACAAAATTGACCGCACAAAATCTAATACGTTAGACTAACAGCATGATTAATTATGCTTTAAGATTTTCTTCATACACTGACCTTTTCAAGTTTCTCGAATGAATCTGCTTTAAGGGGCACCCAGCCCTGAATGGCTTCACAGGCCACCGCGCTCAGCCACGCCGGCCAACCCGCCGCCACCTGTTCCCCCTCCACGTACCTGTGCAGGTTCCCCAGCCGGAAGCTGACCGACCCATTCGAACTCGCCCGTCCCGACTCGCACTCGCTTCCTGACTCGGCCGCCCCCCTCTTCTTCACCTTCTTCAAGTTCAACTCCAGCTCCGCCACCAAGCCGCCGCCCCCGCCGCAGCTCCCCACGCGGCTGCGACCCGACCCGCCATTGAGCGCCCCCGAGTGATCCACCGCGGCCGGGGTCACCGAGACCGCTTGCTTTGACGGCACGCAGCCCATGTGAGCGGCGCCACCCAACCGTCACCGGCTCTCCGCCGCCGCCATGATACTAATCGGATGAAGATGAAGAGAACCCAGATCCGGATTTGCTGAATCTTGACCCGGGCCGAGCTTCGTTTCTGCGCAAATCAATGCCGGCCCTCGCCAGATCACTGATTACCCTCAAGCTCGCGTTTTTAAACACTGCTATCAAGATATTAGGAAAAGTCCTTTTCGACACTACTGTCTCTCTCTAGCCCAAAACCCCCTTTTTATTTTGCGGCAATTGCGGGTAAAAGCTTAGCCACTTAATAATAATGGGGGTTTACAATCACAGCAGGAATTCAACCGAAATCAACGGAGGTCACCCAAAAAATAAAGACAAAGACTGTCGCTTTTTAGTCTTTCCTCCCTCACACAGTAATGGTGAGTGAGGTATATATTAGTTTATGTATGTAGATAATCTTGCTGTTTGTATGTATCTCTCTCAAACAAAAGCGGCGGGAGTCTACCGCAGTGTAAAACGGAGAAAGTTGCAGATGTCTACGAAAAAAAACCAGCGGCCTGCACTTTGACTTAGTACGTGCATTTGGTAAACGGAACTTAAAAAAAATATGCTTTTGGAATTTGGAGTATTCTATTGAATAAAAAATCCTCTTGTGAAGGATTTCAAGAGTCAGAAGTGTCAGGTGAGCTTCCACCAAAATAACCATGTAAAAGTTAAAAAATGATATAGTTTTTAAGTTAAAACTAGTACGTACGGGATAAAGATATTAAATGAATTATTTTTAAAGGCTTTGTCCGTTTAAGTCTGCAGAGAAGAGTTATTATTCATTTTCTACCTATTTTAATCACCGTTAAGTCTTGTTTAAGTCTAAAAAAAGTTATCATCTATTTTCCACCTCTTTTAATCACGTTAAGTCTAAAAAAATAGGAGTTGTAATCTATTTTTCACATCTTTTAATCATTGTTGTTTTATTAGTCAGAACATTAAACGTGAGCATGTTAGGGCTAACTTGTAAAATAATTAATATATTATCTCACTAACACATTTATACTAATATAAATTTAATTTTATTATATATATTTATTCCTTGATATAAGAGAAAATAACAATTTTACTTATTCTTATTCACTATATAATAGTTAATTATTAAACTCTGTTGCCATATAATGTCATTATTAGTACAGAGCCCGTGCGATGCACGGGGTGCACAATATTAAGGCTATTTATCCAGGCTTATATATACATGAATAAAGAAAAATGTACGGGATATATATAGTACGTGACCCGTGCGAAACACGGGATATATTTATTTGGAGGATAAGTACGTAACCCGTGCGATGCACGCAATGTAAAATTTGGAAGAATAATATAACCTTACGTGCATTAGGATCGAAATTGAAATCGTTAAAATACATAGGAACATTGTTGAATCATAAAAAGTTCGGTAACAATCATATATTATTAAAAACCTCCTTGTACACAACATTATGAGTTTGATTATTTGGTAACTCCTCATTATCACAAACTAATATTTTCAAAAGAGACAAATCCTAAAAATCAAACTAATATTTTTGGTGAACAAACTAATATTTTAGGATTGGTTTTTAGGATTGGTGAACAAACTAATATTTTAGGATTTCTAAGATTTGTGTCTTTTTGGTGAACAAACTAATATTTTAGGATTGTTTATATGAATAAGGCTACCTGTTGTTGGTGTTCTTTTCATTCATTTTCATTCAAACAATCCGATGACTTGTATAATGAAATCTGAATCTTAAGCCGAAATATTTAAGAAAAGAGTTTTTAAAAATTGAAAAGTCAAGGCAGTCAGTTCAGATTAATTAAAGGTCAAAGAATATCCGCTCCTTGAAATAAAGACGTGTGTTATCATTAACCAAATATTCGGTTATTGATATAGAACGGTTACCAAAAAATAGAACGCGATAAGGACGCTTCATGGAAATATCAATGGGATAAGGTCATAACAAATCGCTATACATTTTCACGATAAAAGCTCAGATAGAATAATTTATGGTAATTATGTCGTAATTAATGAATTAATTAGATGTGTGAAAAAGACATAATTAATGAGAAGTGTGAAAAGGACATAATTAATGAGAAGTGTGAAAAGGACAAAAACTTACCAGTTTTGGAAAATATTTAATGCAAATCCGACATTGACCATAATTTGACCTACTATTTTGGATAAATGTTAATTCTTATTATATAAGTATAGATTATTTATAAAGTTATACAAGTTGCACGTCTTCTTGTTCTTTTTATTTTATGTAATGAAATATATTTAATTATACAAGTTGCACGTCTTCTTGTTCTTTTTATTTTATGTAATGAAATATATTTAATGCACGTTGGTATTACTTATATAAGTAATCAATTTAAAATATGTAAATAAATTTAAAATTAAGTAGTGTATAAATAATGTACAAAATATACACATATATTTTTTTAGAATCTAAATTTGTATACTAATTAAAAAACTTTGATTTAAGAAAAGTCATGAACTCAATCTCTTCTAATATCAATATTTTTCTAATTTGCATTGTAATGATTATTCTTATTATATATATAAATTAGAATTTTTGCGATACCAACCAAACTAAATATCACAACAACCAAGTAATAATTATGAAAAAACCCATAACACAACAACTATCAATTAAATTTGGTAATAGAAAAATTACATACATATATATAAAAATATGAGGATTCTATATTTCTATTAACTGATGTATACACCACGTGTATATTTTGTTAAGGTATATTGGAATGTTCAATTTCATAGCTTGATAACAATCAGTCTTAAAAAATTGAAAATCTTATTGAAATGTCATATTTTTCTGTTAAAAAAAAAGTTCTCATAAAAAATAATTATATCATAGAAAATTCATTGTGTAATTGAACAAATTTCTATAATGAAGCCCGATTTTCTGTACAAAAATAAAGCAACAACTTTCACAATTTGAGGAAATCAATTAATGTTGGTCCGTTTTTGCTAAGAAAATAATAAATAAATAAATTATAATTAATGAAAAGTAATTAATGATGAGAGAATTTGACCATATCTGTTTTTAAAAATCGTAACAGAAAAATAAATATTACTAGTAAATAAAATTGTATAATACGGAAATAGTAATGACAATAAATGCTGTTGACTTTTCTAGCTACTAAATTTGGTAAATAGGATTCCCGTTAATATAAGTATAGAAGTGATAATAGTTTTTAGCATATGTTTGTTTGTAAATTTTCTCAATTCATAGTTTCATACATAAAATTTAATTTACTTTTAATATAATTTTACTATCCTTAATATTATGATTAGATGGAACCTCACTAAGGTAAAGCGCTCCATAAGAGGGTGAACAAAATTGATCAACTCACATATTTTTAGCTACCTATCATTTTCAATAATCATATCTCTTACTTCTGCATCACATCAACTTAGTTATTACATCATAAATTTTGTTCAAATACAAATTCAAAATTTGCTCAATATTCCACTCAATCAACTTTATTCGAAATTAATTCACTTTAAACAATAAATTCAATCAAAATCGATTTTATTAAGAAGATATTTTGGCTATAATAATTGACATATACTTAGATGAAAAATATATATAGTGATTGTTGATTCAAAAGTATAATTGTAAAATTATAGAATTAAGTCAGGAATATCATGTTAAAATATATCATCTTATTTATGTTATTATAGTATGATGCAATATATAATATTCAATTTAAAAGTATGAATGTTAAATAAATTACTAATATGATTAAATGTACAATTCATCTGATTAATATATTTGTTACCAAATTATGTGGAGTTGGATCGACCAAAAAAATAGTATAGAATCAAACAGAGGATTTTGATATTGAGTTATCGGATATCACGACTTATATAGTTATTTACAATTATTCGCAAATTGTACATTACAAGAATAATTATATATGAAACGTGTGTTAGTACAACACTGTCGAATTTATGTCAAATTGTGTATCTTATGAATAGTTTCCTTAATTCAAAATGTTATATATAAATAAAAGCATGATATTTCATAATATAAAAATGTACTTATATTAAAAAAATGACAGAATGACCCACCTAATCAATAGACTTATAGAATTTGTAATTGAAAACTAGGGAAATATAGTAGCACAAATGCTAAAGCCTAAATGTGACGGTCTATAATTTGTAATTGAAAACTAGAGAAGTATAGTAACACAAATGATAAAGCCTAAATGTGACCGTCTATCATCAGTTTTGCTATGGAGTCATTGGATGGCTCGACTTATGGAGTCATCCGCACTTATTCACCAATAATGTATTGACACGTGTTTTGCAATAAATATAATATGGACATGTGTCAATATATTAAGTGGTGGGTGGCTCCATAAGAAAACCATCCGATGACTCCATAGAATTTTTGCATCTATCATATAGTACTCTTTCCTTGTTTTTTTGAACAATAATAATTTGGAGATATTTTCTCTCTTGTTTCCATTTCAAGCATTTTCTTGCCTTTCAAAAGGGTTCGAACTTTAAATAAGGGAGCCCGTTTTGGTGGGTGGGTATGTTGTGTGCATGGTGTGCATAGTGACAGCGAATGAGAGAGCTAAAAACAGACCAATGATGGAGCGCGTGCGGAGAGTGGGGAACACATATCGGTTGGGTTGGTATTGAAAGGATGGTGTTGAGATTGAAATTGAAAG